ATTGGCCTTTGGCCTGCTCATTTTTGTCATCAAGTTTTTTTTCAACAGGAAATGTGTGATGTTGAATGCCCATTCTCAATTTTTTCTTTGAAAGATACCACCCATCCTCATTTTCAAAAATCAAAATAAAATTTAGATGGCAAAACCTACAGAAGACTGAAGATCACATCACTGGAATTTAATTGCCTTTTATGGATCCATTTTTGTGAATTCAACTTCCTTTTTTAAAGGAAATGTCTGATTTTGAAGAACGCCTTGTGCGAAAAAATCAAAATAAAATCTTGAATGCAAACCCCTACTACGCACCCCCCACTTAAGATTTGAACGCCATTTTTTTTTCAGTCTGCAGAAGTAAGCAAAGAGAAATGACAGCCTATTATAGCATGTGAAGAGATAGAGATAGATAGAGAATGGATCATTCACTATGGGGACACCTGCCTTTGCTGGTGAGATCCAACTCCAAAGAATCAGTGGAGTATATACTCCAGACACTCTGGCGAACTCGCAAGACTGGCCTTGACCCAACTGACAGGGCCTTCATCCGTGATGTGCTCCAACTCCCCAGCGACTCTGACCTCAACCCCGTAAATATCTTTCTCTCTCTCTCTCTCATCTTAATTTTGTCATGACTGTTATTTTCTGTCTGTGTTTGAGCCTTTCTTCTTTCATTGACTTTCAAAATTTTATTGCAATAGTTTTTCTTTTCCTAGATTTCTTTGCTTACCCTTTATATTCCATTAAAGTTGTGGTGCGATGGTGAAAGTTCAAACTCAAATCATGCATTCTCCTCATCTTCAAATGTTGGATATCATCTAGGTGAAGAGGTATGGTGCCTTGGAGAATGCATATGAACTGGTGCTACAGTGTCCAGGGTCTTCCCTATTTAATAATAACTAATAACTGTCATTTCTTTTATCTTCCTTTACTTCAATCGAACCGGAACGGTTAACCGAACATGGGCTTGGAAGCGGTTTAACCGGCCTAACCAGTAAACCGGCCAATTCGACCGCTCTAACCGGGCAAGTCCCGGGCGGTCAAAAAAGTTTTGAAAAAAATAAAAGAAATACAAAACAATCTACCAAAATATGAAAAGTGTATAAAGAATGATTAAAAACAAAACACATTCAAATGAAGTTGAAAATTAATGAAAAAAATGGATTTTAACCCATTTTATATTTTCCAATGGCAATCTTTAAAATTTTATAAAAAAGATGAGAAAATATAAAAGTCAGTGTTAATGACCAAAAGAAATTTTAATCTTTACCATAATGTATAGAATATTTAAAAATCATAACAAATCAAATTCCTTATTTTTGAGAATTTATATACATTTTTTTATTTTGTTTTTTTTTAAATACCGGTTGATCACCCTAACCGCCCAAAGCCGGAACTGGCCGGTTCCGATCTAACAGGGCGGTTAGCGGTTAGATCAGGCGATTTTGCGAACAATGGTTGGCACTGAGTCTTCTTTCACTTTTGGTTTTGTTGGCATTGAGTCGCTTAACTAAAAGTTGAGACGTGGACAATGCATTGGCTTTGCTTTCATGTTGGAGAACTTTATAGTGTATATCAAATTTGAAATGGCTTTGTAGATGGATTGTAGCTTGAGCTTCATGGAGAATTCTGAATTCTGGTGAAGCTTTATTCTTGCTACTTTCTGTATTGATATGATAGGGGGTGGCCATGATGAGACACTTTCATTTTTCTACTGATGAAATAATTGCACTATGGGGCTATTTTTTTGATGGACATGGGATCAGTTTTGAAATAAATCGTTATGCTATCATCCTATGAGTTATCAAGATGAGCTTTCCCTCCCTTTTTCAGATTGTACTTCTTGGATATTGAACATATGAATATCTGAAATACTTTATTTCTTTGTGCTATGCAGCTATTGGTATGCCTTCGTATATTGATACGTAGGTATGAAGATTTCGGCAAAGATGAAATCCATAAGCTTTTTCCTCCTGAGGTTTCGCCTGAACTGCAAAGATTGCTCACTCTTCTGCTTCAGAAGTTCCAAAGGGAGTGGAGAGATGATGCACGCAGAGACCAGGTCAGATAAATTGTATTACTTTGTCTTTCGCCTGAACTGTAAAGATTGCTCACTCTTCTGAGGTTAATTTGAACCCGTTTGGTGCTTTCCACCAGTGCTTCTATATAAGTAGAATGTTGATTTTATGGCATTATAGCTGATCCAGATTGCTATGTCAATTGTATGAGAAAACAGACTGGCTGATCTTTGAAATTGCTAAACCAATTATTTGGCCCTCAAGTGTCAAATTAAATTTTAGCTTTCACTGAATGTATAGTGTGGTCAGCCATTTGGTACTACTACTTGTAGCACCTGACACACACATTAGACAGTACAAAGTGTTAAAATAAATATGAACTTAAAAAATTGAGTTCTAGAATAAGACACACAATGGTTACTCTGAAGTAGAATGATTATACTAGATAACTTGTTCATTGTTTTGGTTAGCTTGAAGATTTTTTTTTGTTTTTTTTGACCGCCTGTAAGAATGAATGTGGTAAAGATTAGGGTCTTGTGAAGAATGCAGGTGATTTCATTTGGAAATTGTACGAATTGATTTTGGGGCTTTTTGGTCCTCAGGGGTACAAGAAGTTCAAGATGTGGATTGGATAAAAATGCTACTTGAATTTGCTGTTATGGGCATTTTATTAAAACTTATCAGTTAGGCTGGAAATTTACAAAGCCATCACTTAACTGTTACTCTTGTGGTTAGATGTATAGACTTGTTTTTGCGACCTTAGCCTTCCTCTATTTATTTTTCATATGGTTATACTTTTTATTATATGTCAAGAAGCACATTACTGTAGTTTGTTTGAAAACTCTTTGCAAGCATTTTCTTCTACTGACTAGATATTGGTTAACCACTATGTGTGCTGCCAATTAGAAAGGCTTGTGTCAAGAAATTTATTCTGACTTTGATAGCTATATATGTCTATGGAACACTGTATCAATGTCTAGGTTTCCTTGCCTCGCTTGAAAGCAATGACTTGGAATATGGCAACTCCAAATGCAGCAACTACAGATCACGTCGCTGTTATTAGTCTGAAGGTATGCTTCATCTGATCAACACCGTGACTATTTTAAGGTTTCTTCCGTTCTTATGTCCCAGGTAGGGTTGTTCCTTTTGGTGTTTGATGGATGTTAATGGTAACTGCTACTGTTACCATTCAAAAATAATAAATACTTGTTAGAAAAATGGTAACCGCTGATGTTCATAAATATTTTGATGTTTTATTTTGGGGATTGCTATTTACACCCATGTACATGATGTGTGTGTGGGGCCTCTGTGTGTGTGCACGTTCGTGTGTGTCTCTGTGTGTGTGTGCCTGTATGTGCATGTGTTTACACGCTAAACCCTAAAACTTGTAAAATTTTAAAGGAAAGAAGGATGACATACACTTCTTGTTGTGCTGGATATGTTTATTCCCAAACTGAGTCAACAAGAAGTTATGCCTTCATTCAGCATCAGTGCAACTAAACAGTATAGTTGATTACCTATTGAAGACAGGCATGCCCATCACGCATATCTGTTTAATGTGCAATAACTCTGAAACTGTAAGTCACTCCCACACTGCTTCGATGCGCAAGTTAGGCGTCATTATGTGAAGTCTAAGCATTTTGGCAGTCCTGTGGCTCCTGTGGGTGAAAAGCAACAAAAAGTATTTAATGAACAAAAGTAAAATGATTGAACAAATGAAGGAGAAGGTGAGGAAATTGCTTGGACAAGACAAATCAACAAATAGAAAATCAATGAAGTGGAGTCCTTCGCTTTGACGGTATAATGAAGCTGAACTTTGATGAGACCTCCAGGGCAAATCCAGGTTTTGGGAGGGTGGGTGGACTCCCAAGGGACCATCAGGGAAGATTTGATTCACTTATTCTGAGCCTCCTCATATATATCGGTCGAATGAGGCAAAGGTCTATGGTTTTGGAGTTTTGGACAAAAAATCGAATCAAATAGTCAAGCCGAATCTAGTAAATGTGATTGCGTGGGCTAGCGAGATGGAGTCCTGCATTGGCAATTGCATTATGTTTTTGAAGAACATGGGACTGTCACTGGATCAGGAGCAATGAGGTGTAATTCAGACATGTATGGAACGGGACTAATGAAGAAGTTATTGCCTGGCCAGAAATGGGGTACGAAATGCATTGTTGGCAGTGACCTCGTATTATCACTTACTCTAATCTTATGCTAATGGACTCATTTATATAAACAAGAAAAATCGTACTCATTCTTAAATCAATTCTGATTATTGAAACGCAGTTAGCAAACAAAAAAAGTTCACATATGTTCACAATAAAGAAGTGAATTTAGTGCCAATGTGCCATGTGATTCTGGTGCTAATTCAGTTTTTGGAAATGATGTAGTCTTCTGGGGAAAGTCATACCTAAGTGACTTGTTGTGTCTTTGACGTATGATTCCCTATTGTTATGGGGATATATAATTACAGTAATTGGATATATAAACTTTACTATAATGATTATAGTGTAATCCAATTGAGGATGGAGAAACAGTTGTCTTTGGATCATGATTATCAAAATAAAATGACTGATGAAGAGAGACTGGGAACCACCATTGGCATCATTTCTTGTTCTGATTTGTCTTATTCTATCACTGCCCCTCTTTTTACTGAATAGTGATGACACAATGGACTATGGTTTGTATAAACGGCATTGAATTTATAGTATGTGATCCTGGTTTTAGAAGTTCCTTTATCTGTTATGTGATTCAGTTTGTGCAACCTAACATTGTGCAGCTTCAAGATGATACACGACAGTACCCGTCAAGTGAAAGAGAGGTCAAGTTCCAATTAGCAAAAGATACCCTTGATACCATGTTGAAGTCCATGTACCATATAAGGGAGCAATTATCAAGTATAGTAAGTTGATCTTCATTATCCACATTTTATTGTGCATATGCCTTTTTTTTTTTTTTAATTGAACAAGCTATTTACATATTCTTTTGATCAGTTTAGCAGCAGTTTACTTTTGCATTCGATTTTGACAGGGTGAACCTTTAAATGGTCATTTGCAAGCTAACGGTCAGTAATAGAATTAGTCGAACACATTGAATTTGGAAGGTATGACCAGGCTTGTAACATGAACATGTAGAAAATAGTGGCTTGAAATATGATACAATGTCTTTGTTTCATTTAATGCTGTGGTATCGTTTTGAGCCCTAATCACTGACTTATTCTATTAATTTGCAAACCTATTTGATATTAATATTTAAAAGGACAACTGAGTATATCTTAGGGCTTTCAAAACATGGAATCTGAACCATTCACCAAACCCAATATTGCTGGCTTCTCGCTCCTTATTGGTCCCACTTTTAGTTGTAAAAAAGTGGTTATATATATATATTNTAATATATATATAATNTAATATATAACGTAAGTAAAAGAGTAAGCGTAAGTCCGACTCGTAACGTCTCCAA